AGTAGCCTGTCGGGAATTGTGGGAGTTGTAGTCCAGAACACCTGGAGGGTCAAAGTTTGCCTAATGCCCGATGTCGATGCATCTAAATCAGGCATGGGCAAACTTTATGGATCCTGGGCCCATAACCCAGCATGGGTCAACTTCAGCCCCCCCCTCCAAGTATTTTAGACTACAACTCCCACAATTCCCAGCCAGTAGCCTGTTGGGAGTTGTAGTCCAGAACACCTGGAGGGCCAAAGTTTGCCTATGCCCAATGTCGATGCATCTAAATCAGGCATGGGCAAACATTATGGATCCTGGGCCCATAACCCAGCATGGGTCAACTTCAGCCCCCCCCCCCAAGTATTTTGGACTACAACTCCCATAATTCCCAGCCAGTAGCCTGTTGGGAATTGTGGGAGTTGTAGTCCAGAACACCTGGAAAGCCAAAGTTTGCCTGTGCCCGGTGTCGATGCACCCAGGGAGAGCAGAACACAGTTCTCTGTTTGGCCATGCAAACTTTGGTTAAGTCACACTCTCTCAGCCTCAGTTCCACCATAACTGAAAAGACTTCAAGGCACACAACAACAACAGCCAGCATCTCGTGGTACCAGAACGCCTTCCAAGTTGCCCAGTGTTCTGTGTGCCCAGGAAGAAGTTTCTCATCCAGACTCAGCCACTAATTGAGGTTCTGGGTTTTAGCCTGCCACTTTTGGACTCTTGCTTGCTGAGGTGTTTCTGCGAGTGCCTCTGTAGATTTTAGGAAGCAGTTCCTTGAGTCCTTGGTGTGCTGGCTGATATCCAAACAGAGGATGGGCCCGAGATGTCACCGCCTTGGTCCATTCACTGTTGGCTGCTACATCCCAGTGGATATCAGGTGGTGCAATACCAGCTAAACAATATAATTTCTCCTGTGGTGTAGGAGGCAGACATCCTGTGATAATGTGGCATGTCTCATAAAGAGCCACATCCACTGTTTTCACATGGTGAGACATATTCCACACTAGGCATGCGTATTCAGCAGAGTAGCAAAGTGCAAGGGCAGATGCCTTCACTGTGTCTGGTTGTGATCCCCAGGTTGTGCCAGTCCGCTTTCGTGCAATACTATGTCTAGTGCCCACTTTTTGCTTGATAGTCAAGCAGTGCTTCTTATAAGTCAAAGAATGGTCCAGAGTTACTCCCAGATATTTTGGTGTGGTGCAATGCTCCAATAGAATTTCTTCCCAGGGAATCCTCAGAACTCGGTAATGCTTGTCTGTTCGTAAGGTGAAAAGCACACATCTGCATTTTAGATGGATTAGGAATCAGCTGGTTTTTCCTGTAATAGGCAGTAAGAGCACCTCAAGCTTCGGAGAGCTTCTGTTCAAGCATTTCAAAGTTCTCTTCTTGGGCAGTGATGGCACAATCGTCAGCATAGATGAAACTCTTTCCCTTCTGGTAGTGGATGGTCATTTGTGTAAATGATAAACATTTGATGGTGCAGGCTGGTTTTCCCTGTAATAGGCAGTAAGAGCACCTAGAGCTTCGGAGAGCTTCTGTTCAACCATTTCAAAGCTCTCTGCTTGGGCAGTGATGGCACGATCGTCAGCATAGATGAAACTCTTTGTCCCTTCTGGCAGTGGCTGAACATTTGTAGGGGTGACTACAACATGAAGAACTGTATTAAGGGGTCACAGCATTAGGAAGGTTGAGAAACACTGACTTAGAGCTTCAGAGAGTTTCTGTTCAACCCTTTCAAAGCTCCCTGCTTGGGTGGTGATGGCACGATCGTCAGCATAAATGAAACTCTTTTTCCCTTCTGGCAATGGCTGGTCATTTGTGTCAATGATAAACATTGATGGTGCAGGCTGGTTTTCCCTGTAACAGGCAGTAAGAGCACCTCAAGCTTCAGAGAGCTTCTGTTCGACCGTTTCCAAGCTCTCTGATTGAGCGGTGATGGCACGATCGTCAGCATAGATGAAATTATCTCTCCCTTCTGGCAGTGGCTGGTCATTTGTGTTGATGTTAATAGAGCAAGCTGCTTTTCCCTGTAATAGGCAGTAAGAGCACTGAAAGCTTCAGAGAGCTTCTGTTCGACCGTTTCCAAGCTCCCTGCCTGGGCAGTGATGGCATGATCGTCAGCATAGAAGAAATTCTCTCTCCCTTCTGGCAGTGGCTAGTCATTTGTGTAAATGTTAAACATTGATGTTGCAAGCTTGTTTTCCTTGTAATAGGCAGTAAGAGCACTGAAAGCTTCAGAGAGCTTCTGTTCAACCGTTTCAAAGTTCCCTGCTTGGGTGGTGATGGCATGATCGTCAGCATAGATGAAACTCTTTGTCCCTTCTGGCAGTGGCTGGTCATTTCTGTAATGTTAAACATTGATGGAGCCTGAGGCATTTGTAGTATGTAGAGCGGCCTAAGAACCCATCAATATGTGTCTGCGCCTCGAAGTTTGCCGTCAACCCCATAGTGGAACCACATTAGAGTTGCATTGTGTGACGACCCAGGTACATTGTCCATCCATTGCAGATCTGGACGCTTGGTTGCCTACTACGTCTCTCTTTTGGCCCAAATGAGAGCTGCTGACAACCTGGTTTTGCTTTTCACAATTAGCTGAAATTGTCACTGATGTTGCCAGAGGCACTCAAGACCCTGAGAAGAAAGTCTTTTTTGGATCAAATCACCAATGTTTTCATTTTTTTTTTAATTGGAGACGCGGATATGGAAGTCCGGACTTCCATATCCGCATTTCCATCACCATTCAAGCCCTCACCTAAGGGCACGTTTCTGATAAATTCTCACTTCCTTCTTGCCTTTTGCTTCCCACTCCTTCCCTGTTTGCTTTAGCTGATCTGTATTTCGACAGCCGGCCTCCCCAACGGCTCTGCCCACTTTCAATGCGTCCGCATTTATGGGAATGGCTGTTATTGACCGTAGAAACTAGATAAATATTGTGCAATCCGAGAGCATTGAGCAACGGGGGTTTCCACCGAATTAGGCCCATGCAGAGATGCTTTTATATACGTCAGCGCTTCTCAACCCGTCATAGTGGAACCACATTACAGGGATCCCCTGGTTGTGGGGGGATCACGAGAGGGTTTCAGAGGGGTCGCCAAAGACCATCAGAAAACACCACCTGAGCTCTGCAAGTGCAGCTTTTTTCCGAATGAAGCAGAGAGTGTTTCAGGATTGGGACATCCGTAGGGAGACCAAGGGGCTTGTTTATAAAGCTATTGTCCTCCCAACCCTGCTGTGGCAGCCACCTCTCCACAAAAGTCAACATTGGCACTGAAATACAACACCGCCTGAGCTCTGCAAGTGCAGCTTTTTTCTGAATGAAGCAGAGAGTGTTTAAGGATTGGGACATCCGTAGGGAGACCAAGGGGCTTGTTTATAAAGCTATTTCCACTCCCTTGGCAGCCACCTCTCCACAAAAGTCAACATTGACACTGAAATACAACACCGCCTGAGCTCTGCAAGTGCAGCATTTTTCCAAATGAAGCAGAGAGTCTCTCAGTTCTTGTGGGTTTTTTTCGGGCTATATGGCCATGTTCTAGAGGCATTTCTCCTGACGTTTCGCCTGCATCTATGGCAAGCTTCCTCAGAGGTGAAGTCTGCTGGAAATGGGGAAAAAGGGGTTTATTATATATCTGTGGAATGACCAGGGTGAGACAAAGGGCTTTTGTAAGTTGGGCTGGGTGTGAGTCTTTCCACTGACCACCTTGATTAGCATACAATGGGCTGACTGTGCCTGGAGCAAACTCTTCTTGAAAGGTGATTAGATGTCCCTGCCTGTTTCCTCTCTGCTGTTTTTGCTGTTGCAATTTTAGAGTTTTTTAATACTGGTAGCCAGATTTTGTTCATTTTCATGGTCTCTTCCTTTCTGTTGAAATTGTCCACATGCTTGTGGATTTCAATGGCTTCTCTGTGCAGTCTGGCATGGTAGTTGTTGGAGTGGTCCAGCATTTCTGTGTTCTCAAATAATCTGTGTCCAGGTTGGTTCATCAGGTGCTCTGCTATGGCTGACTTCTCTGGTTGAAGTAGTCTGCAGTGCCTTTCATGTTCCTTGATTCGTGTCTGGGCAATGCTGCGTTTGGTGGTCCCTCTGTAGACTTCTTGTCCACAGCTGCATGGTATACAATGGTAGACTCCTGCAGAGGTGAGAGGATCCCTCTTGTCCTTTGCTGAACGTAGCATTTGTTGGATTTTCTTGGTGGGCCTGTAGATTGTTTGTATGTTGTGTTTCCTCATCAGCTTCCCTATGCGGTCAGTGGTTCCCTTGATGTCTGGCAGGAACACTTTTCCTCTGGGTGGATCTTCATCTTGACTCTCGTGGCTTGTTCTTGGTCTTGAAGCTCTTCTGATGTCTGAGGTGGAGTCTCCATTGACCTGGAGAGCCCAATGGAAGGAATTCAAAGGAAGCAGAGAGTGTTTCAGGATTGGGACATCCGTAGGGAGACCAAGGGGCTTGTTTATAAAGCCATTTCCACTCCCTTGGCAGCCACCTCTCCACAAAAGTCAACATTGACACTGAAATACAACACCGCCTGAGCTCTGCGAGTGCAGCATTTTTCCGAATGAAGCAGAGAGTGTGTGATAGAGTTGGACATGATAGAATGATAGAGTTGGACGTCATCTGCGTACAGATGGCATTGGACTCCAAAATTCCAGATGGTCTCCCCTAGCGGCTTAATGTACACTCAACATGCACACATATTGATCTATAGGAGCCAGAGCATGGAAAGGCTGGTCTTCCTACACTACAGCTCCCAGAATTATATTCACTCTGTGCATTTAATCTAAATCTCTCTCAATCTTTTGATGGGATGGCAATGAGGTCTATGTCTTCAGGGTTTTTTTCCAAATATGCTAACATGTATTCCTGTTATTGATAAGGAACGTGCCAACTTTGGCCAGGGAATGTTGGAAACCGCTTATCTCGGGAACGTTTCTGTTTGCTTAACCACAAAGCCCATCTCTTTGTGTGTATGTACGTTTGGAAGGAGGAGAGAGTCTGCCTTCCGCTCCCGAGGTGCGTCTGTTTAGCGCGATTCGCAAAGGCTCGTAATCAGTTGGATTTCTTCCAGAAGGCCGCAGCCGTCAAGCTGTCTCTTGTTTGCTCCTCGCATTGCCTTTGAAGGATGCGGGCGAGAGCAGGCCGGGTTACGGATCTTGTGTTCTTCCGTGTCCTCGCTCCGTTTTGCCACGTAGGGACCGGTAAGACTCCTTTTGGAGAGCTCCCACGACCAACAGAAAATACTGGAAGGGTTTGGTGAGCATTGACCTTGGGTTTGGGAATTGTAGTTCATTTACATACAGAGAGCACTGTGGACTCAAACAATGGTAGATCTGGACTGAACTTGGCACGGATATTCAATATGCCCAAATGTGAATGCTGGTGGAGTTTCGGGAAAATAGACCTTGACATTTGGGAGTTGTCGTTGCTGGGATTTATAGTTTTGAATGCGCACAGACTATGTTATCTTCATCATATTGGGGTTCTATAACAGATGTTGTAGGTCTTCCTCTGAATGCGCACAGACTACATTATGATCAGCATATTGGAGTTCTATAACAGACATTGTAGGTCTTCTGAATGTGCAGAGACTACTTATCATCAGCATGTTTGAGTTCTAGAACAGATATTTGAGTTCTAGAACAGAACTCCAGAATATTAGAGTTCTATAACAGATGTTGTAGGTCTTCTGAATGCACACAGACTATGTTATCATCAGCATGTTGGAGTTCTATAACAGATGTAGATTTTCCTCTGAATGCACACAGACTATGTTATCAGCATTTTGGAGTTTTATAACAGACATTGTATGTCTTCTGAATGTGCAGAGACTACTTATCATCAGCATATTTGAGTTCTAGAACAGATGTTGTAGGTCTTTTTCTGAATGCGCACTGAGTACGTTATCAGCATATTGGCATTCTGTAACAGATGTTGTAGGTGTTTTTCTGAATGCACACAGACTGCGTTATCATCAGCATTTTTGAGTTCTATAACAGATGTAGGTGATAACAGACTCTGTTATCATCAGCATATTGGATTTCTATATCAGATGTTGTAGGTCTTCTGAATGCTCACAGACTATGTTTTCATCAGCATACTGGAGTTTTATAACAGACATTGTAGGACTTCTGAATGTGCAGAGACTGCTTATCATCAGTACATTTGAGTTCTAGAACTGATGTTGTAGGTCTTCTTCTGAATGCGCATTGACTACATTATCAGCATACTGGCATTCTATAACAGATGTTGTAGGTCTTCTTCTGAATGCGCACACACTACGTTATCAGTATATCAGCTTCTATAACAGATGTTGTAAGTGTTCTTCTGAATGCACACAGACTATGTTATCATCAGCATATTGGAGTTCTGTAACAGACATTGTAGGTCTTCTGAATGTGCAGAGACTACGTTATCATCAGTATATTTGAGTTCTAGAACTGATGTTGTAGGTCTTCTTCTGAATGCGCATTGACTACGTTATCAGCATACTGGCATTCTGTAACAGATGTTGTAGGTGTTCTTCTGAATGCACACAGACTACATTATCATCAGCATATTGGAGTTCTATAACAGACATTGTAGGTCTTCTGAATGTACAGAGACTACGTTATCATCAGCATATTGGAGTTCTATAACAGACATTGTAGGTCTTCTGAATGTGCAGAGACTACGTTATCATCAGCATATTGCCATTGAGTGGGATACATAGTTCGTATGCATCCATTGAGGTGCTTTGCTTAGTTTAAGAGCATTTACGTTCTCTCCTCTCTTTCCTTTAGATCTTTCTGTTTCCAAGATGCTTCCAAGGCTGATCCTGAGCCTCGTTTTCTTCCTGGGCGTCGTTCCGTCCACGGCACGGGAATCCCGCGGCCACATCTCTGTGGTGCTTTTAGGCGCCACCGGAGACCTGGCCAAGAAGTATTTATGGCAGGGCCTCTTCCAGCTTTACCTGGATGAGGTGAGCAACGGGCACACCTTCACCTTCCACGGGGCAGCCCAGGCCGATCTCGAAAAGGGCCGGCAGCTGATGTACGGGCACCTGAAGAACCTGGCGTGCCCTCTGGACGTCCCTCCCGACCGCTGCGCCATGCTCAAGGACCAGTTCCTCCGCCTGACGGAATACCGCCAGCTCAAGGCGGAGGAGGACTACGCGTCCCTCAACCGGGAGATCCAAACCGTCCTGGATCAGGAGGGCCTGGAGGAAGTGGGGCGGATCTTCTACTTCTCGGTGCCGCCGTTCGCCTACGGGGAGATTGCCCGGCATATCAACAGTAGCTGCCGTCCACCGGCTCGGGCCTGGCTTCGGGTCGTCCTGGAGAAACCTTTTGGGCAGGATCTCCAGTCCGCCCAGCAGCTGGCCGAGGAGTTGAAGACCTTCTTCAAAGAGGAAGAGGTCTACAGGGTGGACCACTACCTGGGCAAGCAGGTGAGTGTCCTCAGCATGAGCTCCCACTGTTAGCCCTAGCTCCTGCCAACCTAGCAGTTCAAAGACATGCAAATGTGAGTAGATCAGTAGGTACCTCTCCAGCAGGAAGGCCATGCTGGCCATATGACCTTAGACGTGTCTAGTAGGCTTGGGCGATCAAGAAAAAAATTGGTTCTAAACTCTTTTCGTTTCTAGGGTGCGCTAGCATTTCGAAATTCTGAGGACTTCCAAAATTTAAGATTTCAAAATTTTGAAATTTCCGAAATTTCGTAAATTACAAATCGATTCGTTAATGGCGGACGCGATTGCACAATATGGGACAGGGGGAACTTCTGAAGCTTCCCTCTCCCTCTGTTGTTGACTGTTGGTGTGATAAAACAAACAACAACTATATTATATTATATTATATTATATTATTATTATAATATAATATTATATTGTTGTATATTATATTATAATATTATAATATTATATATTATTATTATAATATATATATATATATATATATAATATATATATATTATATTATATTATTATAATATTATTATATTATATTATATATTATATATTATATTACATATATTATATTATAATATAATATACAATACAATGCACCAGACATACGAAAATAATTACGAAATAATTACGAAAATTAAAAAAAATGTTTCGATTCTTAATTACGCCTCACACTATTCCTGCATGGCTCGATATTGGATCATAAGCTAATTTAAATACGAATCAATAACGAATAACGAAATTCATGAACTGGATCGCCCATGCCTAGTGTCTAGGGACAATACCAGCTCTTCAGCTTAGAAATGTAAACAAATATATTTTTGTATAGTACTGTATTGTATTGGAGCCCCCGGTGGCATAGCGGGATAAACCGCTGAGTTGCTGATCCTGCTGACTGAAATGTTGGTGGTTCGAATCCGAGGAGCAGGGTGAGCTCCCACTGTTAGTCCTAGCTCCTGCCAACCTAACCCGGCCACATGACCTTGGAGGTGTCTACAGACAACGCCGGCTCTTCAGCTTAGAAATGTAAATAAATATATTTTTGTATAGTACAATATTGTATTGGAGCCCCCAGTGGTGTTGCGGGTTAAACCGCTGAGCTGCCAATCCTGCTGACCGAAAGGCTGGCGGTTTGAATCTGAGGAGCAGGATGAGCTCCCGCTGTTAGCCCTAGCTCCTGCCAACCTAACCTGAACAACACTGCCTCTTCAGCTTAGAAATGTAAACAAATATATTTTTGTATAGTACAATATTGTATTGGAGGCACCGATGGTGCAACGGGTGAAACCACTGAGCTGCTGGTCCTGCTGACTGAAAGGTTGGCAGTTCGAATCCAAGGAGCGGTGTGAGCTCCTACTGATAGCCCTAGCTCTTGCCAACCAAGCAATTCGAAAACATGCAAATGTGAGCAGATCAATAGGTACCACTCCAGCAGGAAGGCCATGCTGGCCATATGACCTTAGAGGTGTTTAGGGACAACACCAGCTCTTCAGCTTAGAAATGTAAACAAATATATTTTTGTATAGTACAATATTGTATTGGAGCCCCCAGTGGTGTTGCGGGTTAAACTGCTGAGCTGCTGGTCCTGCTGACCGAAAGGCTGGCAGTTTGAATCTGAGGAGCAGGATGAGCTCCCGCTGTTAGCCCTAGCTCCTGCCAACCTAACCTGAACAACACTGTCTCTTCAGCTTAGAAATGTAAACAAATATATTTTTGTATAGCCCCCAGTGGTGTAGCAGGTTAAACCGCTGAGCTGCTGATCTTGCTGACTGAAAACATGCAAATGTGAGTAGATCAATGTCTAGTTGTATTGGAGGCCTCAATGATGCAGCGGATTAAACCGCTGAGCTGCTGACCCTGCTGACCAAAAGGTTGGCGGTTCGAATCCGAGGAGCGGGGTGAGCTCCCACTGTTAGCCCTAGCTCCTGCCAACCTAGCAGTTTGAAAACATGCAAATGTGAGTAGATCAATAAGTACTGCTTCTGTAATGGCGCTCCATGCAGTCATGCCGGCCACATGACCTTGGAGGTGTCTACGGACAATGCCTGTTCTTCAGCTTAGAAATGTAAACACATATATTTATGTCTAGTTGTATTGGAGGCCCCAATGATGCAGCGGATTAAACCGCTGAGCTGCTGACCCTGCTGACCAAAAGGTTGGCAGTTCGAATCCAAACAGCAGGGTGAGCTCCCGCTGTTAACCCTAGCTCCTGCCAACCTTGCAGTTCAAAAACATGCAAATGTGAGTATTTAAAATTTATTTATTTAAAAGTTTTCTATACCGATCTTCTCACCTACAAGAGGGACTCAGATCCGGTTCACAACATGTGTTCATATACAAAAATACAAACCACACAATGCATCATCATTACACAATTAAAAACATATTACAATACAACATCGTCATCATCACATTCACATAGCCACGTCGTCAAAGCATTCCTGGTCATAATTCACAGTTATTCATTCTCCTTCCATGTAGATCAATAGTAGATCAATAGGTACCGCTTCTGCGGGACGGTGACAACGCTCCATGCAGTCATGCCGGCCACATGACCTTGGAGGTGTCCACGGACAACGCCGGCTCTTTGGCTTAGAAATGTAAACAAATATATTTTTTGTAAAGTACTGTATCGTATTGGAGCCTCCGGTGAGCTGATCTTGCTGATCGAAAACTTGGCAGTTTGAATCTGGGGAGCGGGATGAGCTCCCGCTGTTAGCCCTAGCTCCCACCAATCTAGCAGTTCAAAAGCATGCAAACAAAAGTGGAAGGAAGGAGTTGCAAAGGGGAAGGTTGCTTGCTCAGCGAAATGGGAGCTTCTGACCTTGGCTGGCTGATCAGGTGGATCAAGCTCTGTGCGTTTCCAACACTTTTTTGTCGCTCACACACACGCAATGCGAGGGCAAGGGATTGGGGGGGCGAGTCTAATAAAATAACTGACCTTTGTATGTCTGGGCAAAGGCCTTAAAGTAAAGGTAAAGCTTTCCCCTTGACATTAAGTCTAGTTGAGTCCAGCTCTGGGGGTTGGTGCTCATCTCCATTTCTAAGCCAAAGAGCTGGCGTTGTCCATAGACACCTCCAAGATCATGTGGCCAGCATGACTGCATGGAGCGCCGTTACCTTCCTGCCGAAGCAGTACCTATTGATCTACTCACATTTGCATTATTTTATTATATTATTTGATCTACTTACATTTGCATTATTATATCGTTATATCATTATATATTTACATTGTTTTACTCTGTTACTACTTTATTACCTTTATTATTTTACTCTATTTATTGTTATTACATTTATTATTTTACTCTATTTATTGTTATTACATATGTCATTTTACTCTATTATTACTGTTATGACATTTCTATTATTTTACTTTGTTATTATTGAATTTATTATTTTACTCTATTATATTTATTTTACACTATTATTATTATTACATTTATTATTTTACTCTATTATTACTTTATTACATTTATTATTTTACTCTACTATTATTACATATGTCATTTTACTCTATTATTGTTATTATTACATTTATTATTTTACTCTTATTACATTTATTATTTTACACTATTAATGTCATCAATGCATTTATTATTGTACTCTATTATTACTATTACATTTATTATTTTTCTCCATTATTTTCATTATTATATTTACATTGTTTTACTCTATTATTATTATTTTATTACATGTATTATTTTACTCTATTATTATTACATATGTCATTTTACTCTATTATTACTGTTATTATTAAATTTGTATTATTTTACTTTATTATTATTATTGCATTTATTATTTTACTCTATTATTACATATGTCATTTTACTCAATTATTGTTGTTATTACATTTCTATAATTTTACTTTATTATTATTACATTTATTATTTTACTCTATTAATGCCATCATTATATTTATTATTGTACTCTATTATTACTATTACATTTATTATTTTTCTCTATTATTTTCATTATTATGTTTACATTATTTTACCCTATTATTATTAATTTATTACATGTATTATTTTACCCTATTATTATATATGTCATTTTACTCTATTATTACTGTTATTATTTTACTTTATTATTATTATTATTATTTATTCTACTCTATTATTATTACATTTATTATTTTACTTTTGTTATTATTACATTTATTATTTTACACTATTATTATTATTACATTTATCATTTTACACTATTATTACTATTACATTTATTATTTTGCTCTATTATTAATATTATTATAACATTAATTATTTTACTCTGTTTATTGTGATTACATTTGCATGTTTCGAACTGCTAGGTTGGAAGGAGCTGAGCCTAGCAGCAGGAGCTCACCCTGCTCCTCAGATCCGGACCACCAATAACATTTTGAATCAAATCTCTGAATATCAAGAAATTTCCTCGTCAGAGGCATAAAGTGCTGATCTTTAAATGTGTCGGGTTTTGATTAATGTTGCGGTCTGCTCCTTCCTTCCCTTTCTCCTCCAAAAGACGGTGGCCCATATCTTGCCATTCCGAGACCAGAACCGAAAATATCTGGACCCGATCTGGAACCGGCACCACGTGGAAAGAGTGGAGATTGTCCTGAAGGAAACCGTGGATGTGAAAAGTATGTGGGGGGTGACTAAAATGATCAAGGGTCTGGAGAACAAGCCCTATGAGGAGCTGCTGGAGGGAGGCTCAAACCAGTCCCTTTAAGGCATGGTGGTTCTGTGTGGGAAGTTTGGCCCAATTCTATCGTTGGAGGAATTCAGAATGCTCTTTGATGGTAGGTGAACTAAAAATCCCAGCAACTACAACTCCCAAATGTCACGGTCTAAACTCCACCAGTGTTCACATTTGGGCATTTTGAGGATTCGTGCCATGTTTGGTCCAGATCATGGCTTGAGTCCACAGTACTCTCTGAATGCAGGTGGACTACAACTTCCAAACTCAAGGTCAATGCCCATGAAACCCTTCTGATGTTTTCTGTTGGTCATGGGAGTTCTGTGTGCCAAGTTTAGTTCAGTTCCATTGTTGGTGGGGTTCAGAATTTCCTGCACTTCCTGACTGTGAGAGCCATTCAGCAGTGGAACTCTCTGCCCTGGAGTGTGGGGGAGGTTCCTTCTATGGAGTCTTTTAAGCAGAAGCTGGATGGCCATCTGTCAGGGGTGCTTTGAACACAAATTTCCTGCACTTCCTGACTGTGAGAGCTGTTTAGAAGTGGAACTCTCTGCACCGGAGTGTGGTGGAGACTCCTTCTATGTTGTCTTTTAAGCAGAGGCTGGGTGGCCATCTGTTGGGGGTGCTTTGAATGATTTCCCTGCACTTCCTGACTGTGAGAGCTGTTTAGAAGTGGAACTCTCTGCTCCAGTGTGTGGTGGAGGCTCCTTCTATGGAGTATTTTAAGCAGAGGCTGGGTGGCCATCTGACAGGGGTGCTTTGAATGCGATTTTCCTGCACTTCCTGACTGTGAGAGCTGTTCAGCAGTGGAACACTCTGCACCGGAGTGTGGTGGAGACTCCTTCTATGTTGTCTTTTAAGCAAAGGCTGGTTGGCCATCTGACAGGGGTGCTTTGAATGTGATTTTCCTGCACTTCCTGACTGTGAGAGCTGTTCAGCAGTGGAACACTCTGCACCGGAGTGTGGTGGAGACTCCTTCTATGTTGTCTTTTAAGCAAAGGCTGGTTGGCCATCTGACAGGGGTGCTTTGAATGTGATTTTCCTGCACTTCCTGACTGTGAGAGCTGTTCAGCAGTGGAACACTCTGCACCGGAGTGTGGTGGAGACTCCTTCTATGTTGTCTTTTAAGCAAAGGCTGGTTGGCCATCTGACAGGGGTGCTTTGAATGTGATTTTCCTGCACTTCCTGACTGTGAGAGCTGTTCAGCAGTGGAACACTCTGCACCGGAGTGTGGTGGAGACTCCTTCTATGTTGTCTTTTAAGCAAAGGCTGGTTGGCCATCTGACAGGGGTGCTTTGAATGTGATTTTCCTGCACTTCCTGACTGTGAGAGCTGTTCAGCAGTGGAACTCTCTGCACCGGAGTGTGGTGGAGACTCCTTCTATGTTGTCTTTTAAGCAGAGGCTGGGTGGCCATCTGTTGGGGGTGCTTTGAATGCGATTTTCCTGCACTTCCTGACTATGAGAGCTGTTCAGCAGTGGAACTCTCTGCTCCGGAGTGTGGTGGAGGCTCCTTCTATGGAGTATTTTAAGCAGAGGCTGGATGGCCATCTGTCGGGGGTGCTTTGAATGCAATTTTCCTGCACTTCCTGACTGTGAGAGCTGTTCAGCAGTGGAACTCTCTGCTCCGGAGTGTGGTGGAGGCTCCATCTGTGGAGTCTTTTAAGCAGAGGCTGGATGGCCATCTGTTGGGGGTGCTTTGAATGCGATTTTCCTGCACTTCCTGATTGTGAGAGCTGTTCAGCAGTGGAACTCTCTGCACCGGAGTGTGGTGGAGACTCCTTCTATGTTGTCTTTTAAGCAGAGGCTGGGTGGCCATCTGTTGGGAGTGCTTTGAATGTGATTTTCCTGCACTTCCTGACTGTGAGAGCTGTTCAGCAGTGGAACACTCTGCTCCGGAGTGTGGTGGAGGCTCCATCTGTGGAGTCTTTTAAGCAGAGGCTGGGTGGCCATCTGACAGGGGTGCTTTGAATGCAATTTTCCTGCACTTCCTGACTGTGAGAGCTGTTCAGCAGTGGAACTCTCTGCACCGGAGTGTGGTGGAGACTCCTTCTATGTTGTCTTTTAAGCAGAGGCTGGGTGGCCATCTGTTGGGGGTGCTTTGAATGCGATTTTCCTGCACTTCCTGACTGTGAGAGCTGTTCAGCAGTGGAACTCTCCGCTCCGGAGTGTGGTGGAGACTCCTTCTATGGAGTATTTTAAGCAGAGGCTGGATGGCCATCTGTCGGGGGTGCTTTGAGTGCGATTTTCCTTCTCTTCCTGATTGTGAGAGCCATTCAGCATTGTAACACTCTGCCCCAGAGTGTGGTGGAAACTCCTTCTATGGAGTATTTTAAGCAGAGGCTGGATGGCCATCTGTCGGGAGTGCTTTGAATGCGATTTCCCTGCACTTCCGGACTGTGAGAGCCGTTTAGAAGTGGAACTCTCTGCTCTAGTGTGTGGTGGAGGCTCCTTCTATGGAGTCTTTTAAGCAGAGGCTGGATGGCCATCTGTCAGGGGTGCTTTGAATGCGAATTTCCTGCACTTCCTGACTGTGAGAGCCGTTCTGCATCCCTATCCAGGCAACACCGTGAACTCAAGGGTGCTTCCCGATGCGCCTGCAGTCTTTGCTGCATTTTGTCTGCAGCGCTGTTCAGCAGTGGAACTCTTTGCCCTTGAGTGTGGTGGAGGCTCCTTCTATGGAGTCTTTTAAGCAGAGGCTGGATGGCCATCTGTTGGGGGTGCTTTGAATGCGATTTTCCTGCACTTCCTGACTGTGAGAGCTGTTCAGCAGTGGAACTCTCTGCACCAGAGTGTGGTGGAGACTCCTTCTATGTTGTCTTTTAAGCAGAGGCTGGTTGGCCATCTGACAGGGGTGCTTTGAATGCGATTTTCCTGCACTTACTGACTGTGAGAGCCGTTCAGCAGTGGAACTCTCTGCCCTGGAGTGTGGGGGAGGTTCCTTCTATGGAGTCTTTTAAGCAGAAGCTGGATGGCCATCTGTCAGGGGTGCTTTGAACACTGTGAGAGCCATTCAGCAGTGGAACTCTCCGCTCCGGAGTGTGGTGGAGGCTCCATCTGTGGAGTCTTTTAAGCAGAGGCTGGTTGGCCATCTGTTGGGGGTGCTTTGAATGCAATTTTCCTGCACTTCCTGACTGTGAGAGCCGTTCAGCAGTGGAACACTCTGCACCAGAGTGTGGTGGAGGCTCCATCTGTGGAGTCTTTTAAGCAGAGGCTGGGTGGCCATCTGTCGGGGGTGCTTTGGGTGCGATTTTCCTTCTCTTCCTGATTGTGAGAGCCATTCAGCATTGTAACACTCTGCCCCGGAGTGTGGTGGAAACTCCTTCTATGGAGGCTTTTAAGCAGAGGCTGGATGGCCATCTGTCAGGGGTGCTTTGAATGGGAATTTCTTGCACTTCCTGACTGTGAGAGCCATTCAGCAGTGGAACTCTCTGCACCGGAGTGTGGTGAAGGCTCCTTCTGTGGAGGCTTTGAAACATGCTGGATGGCCATCTGTCGGGGGTGCTTTGAATGCGATTTTGCTGCACTTCCTGACTGTGAGAGCCGTCCTGCATCCCTATCCAGGCAACACCGCGAACTCAAGGGCACCGCGGTGCTTCCCGATGCGCCTGCAGTCTTTGCTGCATTTCGTCTGCAGCGCCGGCTGCATCCGTCCTGGGATGATGCCTCTCTCCGCCGGTTGTGCCAAGAGGCCATTGCGTGATTAAAAGCCTTGAGTGATTAACAAAAAGGAACATAAATTACGGCGCTCGTATTCTTGGCCGGGCCAAACTTCCCTTTGGGAGAAAAAGGTGACAGAAGGGACGAGAAGAGAGACACCGCTTGGCTACCCGATCCTGCCTTCTCCTTCGTCCTCCGGTATCGGCATTCGTTGGCTTTCCCCAAACCGTGATCGCTCGTCCGTCTGCCAAATAAAATGCAGCATTGATTACCTTAATGCGCCGGCCGTGTGAATTCGGCAGGGACGTGGCTCTCCTTGTTCCAAAGTTATTTTACGAGCCGAGAAGGGTAGCGAGCCCGTTGGTCGTTGGCCGTTCTCCTGCGGAGATCTCTTGACAGGGAGCGGTGAGGCTCCCAGAGATTAATTGCCGTTCCTTCTCTTCCCTCCCTACTTTCCCCCCAATTTTTGATCACCCAGCAGCCTCGCAAGCCAGGAAAAAAGAGGCGCCGAAGAAACTTGGGAAGCAGGAATTCACCTTTCTTGTCGCTCTTCAAGGGCACTGCAGCATTCGATTGGCGGAGAGACTTCTCTTGCTCGAGCCCAGCGCTGAAATTCTGACATTTTGCTAAACTTTGCGCCTTGAATTCGTTTCCGTTGCAACTCAGAGTAAGCTTCACCTTGCTTCCAAACACCGCCACACAAGAGCTGTAGTTTTAGAGTTTATTGAGGGAAAAAATCCAAGTCAAAATAAAGAATAAGCATCGCAAAGTTCCAAAAATTTAGGTTAAATGCAGAATATAGGTAAAAGCAAGAGGCACAATCCTATAGGCAGAGTTCAAAACAGAGTCCAAGGTACAAGCAATGAAACAATTGCCCCAAGAATCACAATGCAAGAAATCCCAAGTTGCTGCTTTTCAGGCGAAGGTTATTCCATGAAGCTTTCAGGCTAATAAGCTACGTTGAACTGACACTATCTCTAGGTTTGCAAGAAGCCTAAATACCTTTCTAACATGAAAACATTATGCTCTCACCAACATGAAAGCATTGCAATGACCTTTCCCCGAGCTGGCTTCTCGTCTGCCGGCCAGGCAAGAATTCCGCCTGACCTGCTAAGCTAAGGTTATTCCATGAAGCTTTCAGGCTAATAAGCTACGTTGAACTGACGCTATCTCTAGGTTTGCAAGAAGCCTAAATACCTTTCTAACATGAAAACATTATGCTCTCACGAACTTGAAAGCATTGCGATGACCCTTCCCTGAGCTGGCTTCTCGTCTGCCGGCCAGGACCCGCTAATCAAGACGAGCTTGCTGGGTCAGGTCACTCTCAAGGCTTTCTGCACTTTCAGTATCAGCGTGGGAAGGAGGCAAATGCCTCTCCACCTGTTCACTATCTCCTTCGTTAAAATTCTTTTCTTCTGAGAACCGCTGTGTTGACTCTGCACTGTCTGTGGGAGCCTCAGAAAAAGACCTAGAAGCAGGCCCAGAGATCTGAGGCACAGAAAAAGAGCCAGGAATCTGAATCCCATCATCCTCATCATCAGAGAACATCTCAGCCACAACAATTTCACTTTTCCTCTGAAGCAGTGTTTCTCCACGTTCCCAATGCCGCGACCCCTTAATCCAGTTCCTCATGCTGTGGTAACTCCTACAAATGCCAGAAGTGACAAAGAGTTTCATCTATGCTGACGGTCATGCCATCACCACTCAAGAAGGGAGCCTTGAAATGGTTGAACAGAAGCTCTCCCAAGCTCTAGGTCAGTGTTTACCTTGAAATGAAGCCCCAGTCGCGCAATGGGTTAAACCAGTGGTTCTCAACTTTCCTAATGCCGCGACCCCTTAATCCAGTTCCTCGTGTTGTGCTGATCCCCCAACCATAACATTATTATTGTTGCTACTTCACAACTGTCATTTTGCTACTGTTGTGAATCATAACGCAAATATTTTGTGTATTTTCATTCACTGGACCAAATTTGGCACTAATACCCAATTTGCCCAATTTGAATACTGGTGGAGTTTGGGGAAAATAGACCTTGACATTTGGGAGTTGTAGTTGTTGTGATTTATAGTTCACCTACAACCAAAGAACCCCTTGAACCCCACCAATGACAGAATGGGGCCAAACTTCCCACACAGAACCTCCTAGCCTTGAAGGGACTCACTGGCACGAGCCTCCTGCCAGCCTCGCACGCTCTCCCTCATCCACACTGCCATGCGCCAAGCACGCCTGCTCTCCCCTCCCCACTTGGAGTCTCAGGATCAGCCCTTGCACTTGATTACTCCGCTGCTGTATACGCATGCCCAGTGTGGAATACATCTCACCACTGGGTTGTTGTAGGTTTTTTCAGGATATATGGCCATGTTCTAGAGCAGTGGTTCTCAACCTGGGGGTCGCGACCCCCGGGGGGGTTGCTTGGCCATTTTGGAGGGGTCGCGAGGCAGTCTCCGTTGGCCCCGCCCCCTCATTAAAATGGCTCCCCACAAAGCCTGGGAACCTGGGTGACCGGCTCGCACTTCCCGCCAATCTCGGTGGAGGCGCAAGCCAGAGGGAGGGAAGGGGAGGGAAAGAAAGGAGGAGGGAAGGGATGGATGGAACGACAAATGAATGGAAGGGAAGGAAGGAACGACAAAAGGGAAGGAAGGAAGAACAAAAGGAAGGAGAAAGAGGGAGGGAAGAGAGGAAGCAAAGACAGAAGGGAGGGAGGGATGGAAGGACGAATGAGTGGAAGGGAAGGATGGAAGGAGAAAGAGAGAGACGGGTAAGGAAGGAAAGAAAGGGAGAAGGAAGGGAAGGAAGGAGAAAGGGAGAGAGGGAGGAAGGAGGGAAGGGCGAAAGGAGGGAAGGAGAAAGGGAGGGAAGGAGAAGAAAGGACAGAAGGGAGGATGGATGGAAGGAAAAGAAGGAAGGGAAGAGGAAGAGAAAGGGAAGGAGAAAGAGAGAGAAGGAAGAAGGAGAAAAAAGGAAGGAAGGATGGAAGGAGAAAGGGCAGAGGGGGGGAGGAAAGAGGGAAGGAAGGAAGGAGAGGAGAGGGTAGGAAGGAAAGAAAGAAGGAAGGAAGGGAAGGAAGGAGAGAGGGAGAAAGGAAGGAAGGATGAAAGGATGGAAGTGAAGGATGGAAGGAGAAAGATGGAGGGAAGGGAGGAAGTAAAGACAGAAGGGAGGGATGGATGGAAGGACAAATGTGTAGAAGGGAAGGATGGAAGGAGAAAGAGGGAGACAGGTAAGGAAGGAAAGAAAGAGAGAAGGAAGGAAGGAAGGAAGGGAAGGAAGGAGAAAGGGAGAGAGGGAGGAAAGAGGGAAGGAAGGAAGAATGAAAGGATGGAAGGGAAGGATGGAAAGAGGGAGGGAAGGGAGGAAGCAAAGACAGAATGGAGGGATGGATAGAAGGATGAATGAGTGGAAGGGAAGGATGGAAGGAGAAAGAGGGAGGGAAGGGAGGAAGGAAAGACAGAAGGGAGGGATGGATGGAAGGACGAATGAGTGGAAGGGAAGAATGGAAGGAGAAAGAGGGAGACAGGTAAGGAAGGAAAGACAAAAGAGAAGGGAGGAAGGGAGGAAAAAGAGAAGGAATGAAGGAAAAAACAGAAGAGAAGGAAAGACAAAAGGGAAGGAAAGAGAAAGAGGGAGAGAGGGAAGGGAAGAAACATGAAAGGTAAGGAAGGAGTGAGTGAGAAAGAGGGGAGGAAGGAAGGATAGGATGGTGAGATAGAAGAGGGCCTGAGGAGACAGGTATGGTTTGCCCATACCTGTTGTAGATGCACCCCAAGTCCTTTTTCAGTACCTAAACTCCTTCACTGGACCACTGCTCGATTTTTCTCTCCTCACACAGACCGCACCGGCTTCTATGAAGAATATGGTGTGATCCGTGACGTTCTCCAGAACCACCTGACCGAGGTCTTGATGCTTCTCGCCATGGAGTTGCCGGCGAACGTGAGCCATTCTGAGGACGTTCTCCGGAGCAAGCTTCAGACTTTTGCTTCCTTGCAAGGCCTGGAGAGGAGCAGCGTTGTACTCGGTCAATATGAAGCATACAACAGCCACGTCCGGGAGGAGCTTCAGAAGGGACAGGACTATTTCAGCAGGACGCCCACCTTTGCAGGTAATATGCCTTCTTCCGATTCCAGTTTGGCAATTCTCTGCATTCCTATTTTGTCAGATGCTTTTTAAAACGTCCCGGTTTCACTCTTCCCTTCCCCCTTTGTCTGCAGCTTTTTTCAGTGCCTGCAAATGGAGGAAAAGAGGGAAACGGCACCCTTTCCAGACATATTTTAGCAGGGTTGCCCAGGTTATTTGAAAAAGTCAATTTTTAATTAAGGTTGTGGGTGAACTACAACTCACATCATGCCAGATTGACCCCTTGAAACTCCATCAGTACTTAAAAGTTCGTTATGTTGGGCTATTTTGCTCTAGATGTATCATCGGTGGGGTTCAATGTGCTCTCTGGCTGTAGGGTAAACTATAACTCCCACCATGGTGAGTCCGGCCCCTCAAACCCCTCCAGTAAGTTGTTGATCTTGGGGGGTTCTGTGTGCCAAGTTTGTCCAGATCCATCATCCGTATAGGTCACTTTTTTGTTGTGAGTGAACTACTACTCCCAGAAAGGAAGATCAGTTTCCCCCAAACCCCTCCAGTAATCAAATCTCAGTCTGTGTGCCAAGTTTTGTCCAGATCCTTCAGTGTTTGGATTCACTGTGCTCTCTGGATGTAGGTGAACTACAACTCCCCCAAATCAAGGTGAATTTCCCCCAAAGACCTCCAGTATCTATTGCTGGTCATGGAGGCTCTGTGTGCCAATTTTGAAAAGAATAGTATAGGGTTATGGGAGAGACAAATTCCACTCCAATGGAGAGAGTCGGAAACACTGGGATGTCTGTGATGGAGGAAACACATAAAATCTAGGATGGAATGGTCCCTGTATGAAAGCCTTCACTTGGGTTGTGGGCAGTGTGGTGTTTGTAGAGGACATTGGCAGGGCTCTTGGACATATTCACAATGATCAGTTGTGGGTGAACTACAACTCCCAGAAAGGAAAGTCCATTCCCCCCAAACTCCTCCCATAATCAAATTACAACATATCAGGTATGTGTGCCTAGTGTGGTCCAGATGTCGGTGTTTTGGGATTCACAGTGCTCTCTGGATGTAGGTGAACTACAACTTCCCCAAATCAAGGTGAATTTTCACCAAAGACCTCCAATATTTTTTTCTGGTCATTGGAGGCTCTGTGTGCCAAGTTTGGTCTTGATTGGTCATTAGATGAGGGTTTCAGCAGTCTTGGGAAGTGAGTGGAGGTACTTGAAGTCCATCCATGGTCTGTCCTCCTCGAAAGTGCACCAGGATGTAGAGTGGGTGTAGAGTGGCTCTGTGTGCCAAGTTTGGTCTTGATCAGTCATTGGCGAGGGTCTCAGTGGTCTCAGGAAGTGAGTGAAGTTACTGCAAGTCCCATCATCCATCTCCAAATTCTTCCAAACCGCACCAGGATGTAGAGTGGGTCATACGGGCTCTCTGTGTGAATTGTGATCCTGATCCATCACTGTTGGACGTTGTAAAGGTCTCAGGAAGGGAGTGCAGGTATTGCAAGTCCCATCGTCCATGGTGCATCCTCCTCCAAACCGCAGCAGGATGTAGAGTGCGTCATGGAGACTCAGTGTGCCAAGTTTGGTCTTTATCGATAATTGGATGAGGGTTGCAGTGGTCTCAGGAATTGAGCGAAGTTACTGCAAGTCCCATAATCCATGGTCCATCCCCGGCCAAACCACACCAGGGCGTAAAGTGGGCCATGGGAGGTCTATGTGCCAAGTTTGGTCTAGATCAGTCATTGAAGTTCACAGCGGCCTCAGAAAGTGAGTGATGGTACTGCAAGTCCCATCATCCATGGTCCATCCTCCTCCAAACTGCCGTAGGATGTAGAGTGAGTGAAGGTACTGCAAATCCCTCAGGCCCTTTCCTTTCTCTTCCTTTCATCCACTTGAGAATGTGAGAATGGGTTTTTTGTTTGTTTTTGTCCTGTCAGGAGCGACTTGAGAAACTGCAAGTCGTTTCTGGTGTGAGAGAATTGGCCATCTGCAAGGACGTTGGCCAGGGGACGCCAGGATGTTTTGATCTTTTACCATCCTTGTGGGAGGCTTCTCTCATGTCCCCGCATGAGGAGCTGGAGCTGACAGAGGGAACTCAACCTGCAACCTGTGGGTCTTCAGTCCTGCCGGCACAGGGGTTTAACCCTCTGCACCACCAGGGGCTCCTATTGAGGCTGGCCAATCAGAAACCATATGCAAATTTCCTTTCCTCTCTCAGCCACTTTAGAATGTTGGAATGGTGTGGCTGGCCAATCAGAGATCTTATGCAAATTGTACCACAGTGGCAGCCAATCAGAAAGCTGCCACATACACCTACGTCCACCGCACACATACATACATACAAACACTCTCTTTTATTATATAGAAGATAGATAGATATAGATATAGATAATATAGATAGATAGATATTTTATTACGTATATAGATATAGAATATAGATAGATAAATTTAGATAAACACAAAATTCAGTGATGTTTCATATACACAAACTGTGTTTCATGTACCAAATTCTTAAAAACATTGCATCAAATGACCTTTGGACTGTGTCTATAAATGGGCTATTATGGTTTTCAGGAGTGCTGGTTCACCTGGACAACCTCCGCTGGGAAGGCGTGCCCTTCATCCTCACCTCTGGCAAAGTCCTGGACGAACGGGTTGGTTACGTCCGAGTCGTGTTCAAAAACCGTGCCTATTGCGCCCAACACGAATCGACCTGGGACGCCAAAGAGAGCCAGTGCAAGCCGAAGCAGCTCATCTTCTACATCGGACACGGAGAATTGAATTCCCCCGCGATTCTCGTGAGTCGCAACCTTTTCAAGCCCACCATGCCGCAAGGCACATGGAAGGAGCTCCTCGATCGCCCGCAGGCGCGTCTTTTCGGACAGTCCGTATCCGACTACTACGCCTACATTCCCGTAGCGGACTTAGACGCCTACGCAGTCCTCATCTCGCATATTTATCACGGCAAGAAGGAATCCTTCGTGACGACGGAGAATCTGCTGGCCGCGTGGGGGTTCTGGACTCGGTTGCTGACCGACTGGGAGAACGAAGCCCCGCGCGTGTACCCCGGCGGACGGGAAAACGGGCACCTCTTGGATTTCGAGATCGTCGGCGGAGAAGTGTCCTTTGTGATGAAGGAGACCCTCGAGGTGATGATGGACGCCAGGAATGGGCAAACGCCGGACCAATACAAGACCATCCAGTCCAGATTTCGGCAGAGCCGCCTGATCACCGCCTGGTCGGAGGAACTCATCGCCCACTTGGCCGCGGATATTGAAAAGGTGGCCGTCAGCGCCGTTGGGCGGTCGGGTTCATTCCATGTGGCCTTCTCGGGAGGATCTAGTCCTCTTGCCCTCTTCAAACAGTTGGTGTTGCATCATTACGGCTTCCCCTGGCGCCACACTCACCTCTGGTTGGTGGACGAGCGTTGCGTCCCGCTCGACGACCCAGAATCCAATTTCGGCAACTTGTACGAGCATCTCATCCGCCACGTCCGGGTGCCTTATTTCAACGTCCATCCGATGCCCGTGCACCTCAACCGGCGGCTCTGCGTGGAGGAGGATAAAGGTCCGGAGCTGTACGCCAACGAGATTGTTGCCCTGGTTGCCAACACCAGCTTTGACTTGGTCCTCCTTGGATTGGGAGCGGACGGTCACACGGCCTCCCTTTTCCCGCATGCTTCGGTCGGCTTGGAAGGAAGCCAGGAGGTGATCTTCACCGAGAGCCCCGTGAAGCCCCACCAGCGCATGACCTTCGCCCTGCCGTTCATCAACAAGGCCAAGCGGGTGTGGGTGCTGGTCATGGGCAAGGGCAAGCATGACATCGTGACGGTGGTCAGCAGGGCTGGGAACGAGCCCAAGAAGTGGCCCATTTCTGGGGTGAACCCCATCTCTGGGCAGATCGCCTGGTACGTGGACTATGAGGCTTTGCTTGGATGATTGGGTGGCTTCCACCTCCCTGTCCGTCCAGAATCTCTGTCTGAGCAAGAGTGCATCTACACTGTAGACTCAATGCCGTTTGACACCACTTTAGCTGCCATGGAATTGTGGGAGTGCTGGTGACACACAAAATACAACTCCGTTGAGTCTTGGTAGTTGAAATGGTGTCAACCTGCATTAATTCTACAGAACAGATCCGGTATGGGCAAACCCAGGCCTGGGGGCCAAATGTGGCCCCTTGGGCTCTTTTCTCAGGCCCTCTGCTCTCTCTCACCATCCTTTCCTTCCTTCCTTCCTTCCCTTCTCTTTCCTTCCCTCCCTCTTTCTCCTTCCTTTCTTCCCTCTTGCCTTTCATTCCTTCTCTCTTTCCTTTATCCTTCCCTTCTTTCCTTCCCTTCCACCCTTCCTTCTTCGCTTTTGTCTTTCCTCCCTTCCCTCTTTCCTCTCTCCTTCCCTTCCTCCCTTTCTTCTTCCTTCCTTCCCTTTGTCCTTCCTTCCTCTTTCCTCCTCCTTCCTCTCCTTCCCTCCCTCTTTCTCCTTCCCTTTCCTTCCACTCTTCTCTTCTTCCTCTCTCCCTTTCTCTTTCATTCCTTCTTTCACTTTTCTTTCCTCCTTCTCTCTTTCCTTCCTCTTCCTCTCTCCCTTTCCTCCTTCTTTCTCATCTTTCCCTTCCACCCTTTCGTCCTTCCCTCCTTCCTTCCCTTTTACCTCCCTCTCTCCCTTTCTCCTACATTCCTTCCCTTTTGTCTTCCCTTCTCTCTTTCCTTCCTCCTTCCCTCCCTCCTTTCCTTCCCTCTTTCTCTTTCCATCCTCCCTTTCTTTCCTTCCTCTCTCTTCTCCTACCTTCCTCCTTCCCTCCCTTCTCTCCTTCCTTCCCTCCTTCCCCCTTCCTCCTTTCTCCTTTCTCCTTTTCCTCTTCCTTCTCTCTTTCCTCCCTCCTTACCTCCCTCCCTTCCCTCCCTCTTTCTCCTTCCATCTTTCCCTTCCACCCTTCCCTCTTTCCTCCCTCTCTCCCTTTCTCTTTCATTCCTTCTTTCACTTTTGTCTTTCCTTCCTTCTCTCTTTCCTTCCTCCTTCCTCTCTCCTTCTCCTCTTTCTCCTTCCATCTTTCCCTTCCACCTTTCCTTCTCCTTCCTTCCCTTTTACCTCCCTCTCTCCCTTTCTCCTCATTCCTTCCCTTTTGTCTTCCTTCTCTCTTTCCTTCCTCTTCCCTCCTCCTTCCTCCCTCTTTCTCTTTCTCCTTCCTTTTTTCCTCCTTCTCTCTCCTTCCTCTCTTCTCCTCCCTTCCCTCCTTTCTTCTCCTCCTTCCTTCTCCTTTCCCTCCTCCATTTCTCCCTTTCTCCTTCTCCTTCATTCCCTTCTCTCTTTCCTTCCTCCTTACCTCCCTCCCTTCCCTCCCTCTTTCTCCTTCCATCTTTCCCTTCCACTCTTTCATCCTTCCCTTTTACCTCCCTCTCTCCCTTTCTCTTTCATTCCTTCTTTCACTTTTGTCTTTCCTTCCTTCTCTCTTTCCTTCCTCCTTCCCTCCCTCCCTTCCTCCCCACTTTCTCTTTTCATCCTTCGCTTTTGTCTTTCCTACCTTCTCTCTTTCCTTCCTCCTTACCTCCCTCCCTTCCCTCCTTCTTTCTCCTTCCATCCTTCCCTCTCTCCCTTTTGTCTTTCCTTCCCTCCTTCCTTCTCTCTTTCCTCCATTTCTCCCTTTCTCCTTCATTCCCTTTTGTCTTTCCTTCTCTCTTTCCTTCCTCCTTACCTCCCTTCCTTCTCTCTTTCTCTTTCCATCCTTCCCTTTTGTCTTTCATTCCTTCTCTCTTCCCTTCCTCCTTCCCTCCCTCTTTCTCCTTCCATACTTCCCTTCCTCCCGTCCTCCTTCCTTCCCTTTTGTCTTTACTTCCTTCTCTCTTTCCTTCCTCCTTCCCTCGCTCCCTCCCTTCCCTCTTTCTTTTTTCATCCTTCCCTTTTGTCTTTCCTTCCCTCTTTCCTTCATCCCTCCCTCCCACTCTTCCTCCCCTTCCCTTCCTCAGGGCGCTATCCAGCAAAACAGACACAAATAGCCATACGATTGGGGAAAGTGCCCTTCTGAGCCACAGTTCCCAGCCTCTCCTACCCAGCACGGCCACTACTATTCAATAGACACGATGCAGATTGAGCCAATTTAATGCCCTTATTTTGCACAAAGTACATTTGCTAAGCCTCAGTCATTAAACTCACTGGGTAACCTTAGGCAAGTCACACTCTCTCAGCCTAGAGGAAGGCAACAACCTCTCCTGAATAAATCTTGCAACGAAATCCCGGTAATAGGTCAGACACTGCTAGCATCCCCCCCCAGGCAGCAACCTGCCAGGCTTTGAAGCTAAAAGGTCATTAAATGCTAATCAACTGACACTGCCCAACAAAGGATTCCCCCAGGCAGGAAGCAGCCAGGCTTTGAAGCTGCAAGGCCATTAAATGGTAATCAAGTGACACTGCCCAACAAAGGATTCCCCCAGGCAGGAAGCAGCCAGGCTTTGAAGCTGCAAGGCTATTAAATGCTATTCAACTGACACCGCCCAACAAAGGATTCCCCCAGGCAGGAAGCAGCCACGCTTTGAAGCTGCAAAGCTATTAAATGTTAATTAAATAACACCGCCCAGTAAAGGATTCCCCGAGGCAGGAAACAGCCAGGCTTTGAAAATGCAAGCCCATTGAATGCTAATCAACTAACACCTCCCAACAAAGGATTCCTCCAAGCAGGACACAGCCATGCTTTGAAGCTGCAAGGCCATTAAATGCTAATTAAATACCACCGCCCAGTAAAGGCTTCCCCGAGGCAGGAAACATCCAGGATTTGAAGCTGCAAGGCCATTAAATGCTAATCAACTGACACCGTCCAACAAAGGATTTCCCCCAGGCAGGAAGCAGCCAGGCTTTGAAAGTGCAAGCCCATTATATCCTAATCAATTGACACCTCCCAACAAAGGATTACCCCCAGGCAAGGAAGCAGCCAGGTTTTGAAGCTCCAAGCCCATTAAATGTTAATCAACTAACACCTCCCAACAAGGGATTCCCCCCAGGCAGGAAGCAGCCAGGCTTTGAAACTGCAAGGCCATTAAATAGCTAATTGTAACATTCACACTTGCCTCCAGCAGACAAGAGTTCTTTCTCACATCCTGGACAGCATTCCACGGATACATAAGCCCCACTTTCCTAGTTTTCAACAGGCCGCACAACCTCTGAGGATACCTGCCATAGATGTGGGCGAAACGTCAGGAGAGAATGCTTCTGGAGCACGGGTAGACAGCCCAAAAAACTCAGAGCAACCCAGCTTAAAAGCACACAACAAAGGGAAAGAAATTGCAATGCAAGATTCTACCACTAGAGGGGACCATTGCACAGTCTTTGCCCAGCTTTGGTACTCTGTTGGATCACTTGCATTAACATAAATGCTGCTTTTGGTACATATCTGACAAAATATTCCCTTTATGACTTTTCCCAGTTCTCCGGGTATTTCTATTGTATCCTGGGTTACTCTAGTGTTGCACTGACAAATTCCTGGAGAGAAGACCTCTCATGGAATTTTTCTCCGTCGTTTATGCTTTGTGCCTCTGTGAATTCCACAGCACTGCTGGTCACAGCTGACCTCCAGTTCGAGCACTCAAGGGCCAGGGCTTCCCAGTTCTTTGTGTCTATGCCACAGTTTTTAATGTTGGTTTTAAACCCATCGTTGAATCTGTTCCTGTCCACCAACATTATATTCTTGAGTTGGGAGTAGAGTAACTGCTTTGGGAGATGGTGATTGTGCATTTGGACAACGTGGCATTCAGTCCAGCAGAGTTGATGGCGGAGGAGCATTGCTTCAATGCTGGTGGTCTTTGCTTCTTCTTCCAACACGCTGACATTTGTCAGCCTCTCTTCCCAAGAGGTTTGCAGGATTTTTCATAGGCAACGCTGATGGAATCGTTCCAGGAGTTGAGTGTGACGTCTGTAGACAGTCCACGTTTCGCAGGCATATAGCAGGGTTGGGAGGACAATAGATTTATAAACAAGCTCCTTGGTCTTCCTACGGATGTCCCGGTCCTCAAACACTCCCTGCTTCATTCGGAAAAATGCTGCACTTGCAGAGCTCAGGCAGTGTACGTGACGTCTGTAGACAGTCCACGTTTCGCAGGCATATAGCAGGGTTGGGAGGACAATAGCTTTATAAACAAGCACCTTGGTCTTCCTACGGATGTCCCGGTCCTCAAACACTCCCTGCTTCATTCGGAAAAATGCTGCACTCGCGGAGCTCAGATTGGAGGGACATGATCGATTCCCCATTTTTAACATAATCCTTACAGAAATCACTGCCAGGATCCAAAACATGTGCCTTAGATCAATATTGCCCCAAAACTGCACTGGTTTCCCTTATTTACCTTTGGCTGGTGGTCCAACTTCTACTACTGAAAAGGGAAAACATAGTTCATCGCCTCGATTCAGGTTGGATGGGTGGATGGATGTGTGTTTTGATAGCGCCCCGTTTTGTTTTTAGTGAACGCACTGGAAATAAATGTTTGGAAATATTTTTGTAAATGTACATTTTTTAAAGAGAAAATAAAAGATTTTTCACACTTGCATTTAAAGCAGAGTTTCTCAACCTGGGGGTCGCGAGGGGGTTTCAGAGGGGTCGCCAAAGACCATCAGAAAATTTCTCCTCCTGTCCTTCTCTTCCTTTTTGGAAACAGAGGGCAAATCCTCCCACCAAAAGCCCTCCTCCACAGTGATTGTCCCAATTTGATCATTGGTGGGGTTCAGAATGCGCTTTGATTGTAGGTGAACTATAAATCCAAGCAACAACTCCCAAAAGTCAAGGTCTATTTTCCCTCAAACTCCACCAGTGTTCACATTTGGGCATATTGAGTATTCATGTCAAGTTTGGTCCAGATCTATCATTGTTTGAGTCCACAGTGCTCTCTGGATGTAGGTGAACTACAACTCCCAAACTCAAGGTCAATGCCTATCAAACCCTTCCAGTATTTTCTGTTGGCCATGGGAGCTCTGTGTGCAGAGACTGGTTCAGTTCCATCATTGGTGGTCTTCAGAATGTTCTTTGATTGTAGGTTGACTATAAATCCCAGCAAGTACAACTCCCAAATGACAAAATCAATCCCTCCCAATTCCACCAGCATTCAAATGTGGATGTGTGGGGTATTTGTGCCAAATTTGGTCTAGTGAATGAAAATACATCTTGCATATCGGATAGTTACATTATGATTCATACAGTAGCAAAATGACCTATAAATCCCAGCAACTACAAGTCCTATTTTCCTCAAACTTCACCAGTGTTCATATTTGGGTCTAATGAGTATTCGTGCCTAGTTTGTTCCAATTCCATCGTTGGTGGAGTTCAGACTGCTCTTTGATTATAGATGAACTATAAATCCCAGCAACGGCAACTCCCAAATGTCAAGTCCTATTTTCCCCAAACTCCACCAGGGTTCATATTTGGGTGTAATGAGTATTCGTGCCTCGTTTGGTCCAATTCCATCGTTGGTGGAGTTCAGACTGCTCTTCAATTGTAGGTGAACTATAAATCCCAGGAACTACAACTCTCAAATGTCAAGTCCTATTTTCCCCAAACTCCACCATATTTGGGTGTAATGAGTATTCGTGCCTAGTTTGGTCCAATTCCATCGTTGGTGGAGTTCAGACTGCTCTTCTATTGTAGGTGAACTATAAATCCCAGGAACTACAACTCCCAAGTGTCAAGTCCTATTTTCCCCAAAATCCACCAGTGTTCATATTTGGGTGTTATGAGTACTTGTGCCTAGTTTGGTCCAATTCCATCGTTGGTGGAGTTCAGAATGCTCTTTGATTATAGGTGAACTATAAATCCCAGCAACTACAACTCCCAAATGTCAAGTCCTATTTTCCCCAAACTCCAGTGAATGAAAACGCATCCTGCATATCAGACATTTACATGATGATTCATAACAGTAGCACCTTCTCTGCCAAACTTGGCCGGTGCCTCGCCAAACTACAAGTCCCAGGATCGCATGTCAAACTGCATTGACGTGTAGATGCAAGACTTGATATGCCACGGCCAACATTGGTGCCACTTTCAATGATGGCAAACAATTCTGCAACTTCCTAGAGTTTTTTGGTTTTGCATTCTGTGGTATCTCAATGACTCCGTACTTTCCGAGAGAAGAGTTTGTGACCCGTTAAGGTCGCAACGACACCAAAGCGAAGCGAAGCCATAACCCAAAAGAGGTGCAGAACGACCTGTTTTCCTTGTGAAATGTTATATTTTTCGAGCACACCACAATCTCTCTAGGACGGAACAGCGAGACCATCCCTGGGGATGTCTCATCCAAGGAGATAAAGGAAGGGAAATGATGTTTTCTCGTATCGGGAACGTCTGAGGCTGATAAGGAGAAGCAGCGATTAATGCACATTGGGGGTTGGATGATAGTAACACGCTTGGGGTTGGGTTTAGGAGAGGTCATCCATTCAAACCTCAGCCAGACACAAAAAGTAACTTTTCCGAAACCAAGAACAGCTACTTCCGGTCAGTATAAGTGGCGCTCTGCCCAATTAACCAAAAGTCTGGTTTGGGATGTGTCTACATAACACAATTGTCACTTACTTAGGCGATCCCTCGTAGCCCAAGGATCCATCAATCAATCCATCCATCCAAGTGTGGTGGCTGTGGAGCCCTATTCTTCATCCACATGTTCTGCAGTGAGGACATCGGTCTCCCAAGTGGAAGGTCAGGGTTGGCTTGATGTGGTCCTCCAAGTGTAGTGTCTTGGTGGTGGGTACATAGCTGACTGTCAAGCCCTATTCTTGTAGTGTCTTGGTGGTGGGTCACACACCAGGCCTACTACACTTAAGCATACCTCACACTGAGGCCTTTCTCCCATTGAGGGCTCTCTGACTGACGCCTCTCTCACACTGAGGCGAACTAACACTGAGACCTTCTTATACTTTACTTAGGCGATCCCACATATCTCGAGGATGATGGTCCTCAAAGTGTAGTGTTTTGATGGTAGGTCACACATCAGGCCTACTCACAACGAGGCCTACTGCACTGAAGCGTACCTCACACAGAGGCCTTTCTCCCATTGAGGGCTCTCTCTGACTGACACCTCTCTCACACTGAGGCGAACTAACACTGAGACCTTCTCATACTTTACTTAGGCGATCCCACATATCGCGAGGACGATGGTCCTCAAAGTGTAGTGTTTTGATGGTGGGTCACACACCAGACCTACTCACAACGAGGCCTATTTCTATCCATCCATCCCTCCACCCATCTCTCCATCTATTCATCCATCTACCCATATCTCCATCCATCTATAGCTCCATCCATCCATCCATCTAACCATCTCTCCATCCATCCACCCATCACTCTATCTATCCATCCATACACCCATATCTCCATCCATCTACCCATCTCTCTATCCATCCAACCATCTATCCACCCATCTACCCATATTTCTATCCATTCATCCATCCATCAATCAATCCATCCATCCATCCATCTCTCCATCAGTCCACCCATCTACCCATATTTCTATCCATCCATCCATCCATCCATCAATCAATCCATCCATCCACCCATCTCTCCATCAGTCCATCCATCCATCCACCCATCTCTCTATCCATCCACCCATCTCTCTATCTATCTATCCATTCATTCATCCACCCAGTCATCCATCTACCCATATCTCCATCCATCCATCTCGCCATCAATCCATCAATCCATCCATCTATCCACCCATATCTCAATCCATCAATCCATCAATCCACCAACCTCTCCATATATCTCCATCCATCCACCCATCACTCTATCTATCTATCTATTCATCCATCCATCCATCCATCTACCCATATTTCTATCCATCCATCCCTCCACCCATCTCTCCATCTATTCATCCATCTACCCATATCTCCATCCTTCCATCTATCCATCCATCCACCCATCTCTCCATCTACCCATATCTCCATCCATCTATAGCTCCATCCATCCAACCATCTCTCCATCCATCCACCCATCACTCTGTCTATCTATCCATCCATACACCCATATCTCCATCCATCTACCCATCTCTCTATCCATCCACCCATCTATCCATCCATCTACCCATATTTCTATCCATCAATCCATCCATCCACCCAGTCATCCATCTACCCAAATCTCCATCCACCCATCTCTCCATCCACCCATCCACCCATCTATCTATCCATCCATTCATCCACCCAGTCATCCATCTACCCATATCTCCATCCATCTCTCCATCCATCTATCCATCCATCCATCCATCCATCCACCCATCTATCCACCCATATCTCAATCCATCCATCCATCCACCCCTCTTTCCATCCACCCACCCACCCACCCATCTATCTATCCATCCATCCGCCCATCTCTGGATCCATCCATCTACCATCTCTACATCCATCCATCCATCCATCCATCCATCTACCCATCTCTCTATCCATCCACCCATCTATCCATCCATCTACCCATATTTCTATCCATTAATCCATCCATCCACCCAGTCATCCATCTACCAAAATCTCCATCCATCCATCTCTCCATCAGTCCGTCCATCCATCCACCTATCTCTCTATCTATCCATCCATTCATCCACCCAGTCATCCATCTACCCATATCTCCATCCATCCATTCATCCATCCATCCACCCATATCTCAATCCATCAATCCACCCATATCTCCATCCATCCATCTCTCCATCTCTCCATCCATCCATCCATCCATCCATCCACCTCTCGATCCATCCATATACCCATCTCTACATCCATCCATCCACCCATCTCTTGATCCATCCATCCATCCATCTACCCATATCTCTATCCATCAATCCATCCATCCCTCCATCCATCCATCTCTCCCATCTATCCATCCATCCATCCACCCATCTCTTGATCCATCCATCTACCCATATCTCTATCCATCAATCCATCCATCCCTCCATCCATCCATCTCTCCCATCTATCCATCCATCCATCCATCAATCCATCCATCCATCCACTCATCTGTATCTGTCCATCCATCCACCCATCTCTCCACCCATCTCTCCTTCTATTCATCTATCTACCCATCTCTCCATCCACCCACCCACTCATCCATCTGCCCTTTGGCTGTTAGGGATGGTGGGAGTTAAAGTCCAAACACCTGGAGGGCCCAAGTTTGCCCAGACCTGGTGTAGCTTGAAATAAGCCAGCGTCTCCTTTAAGGGGCGTGGCGTCCCGGGGAAAGGGGCGTGTCCCTCCGCGCCCCCACGTGACCCTGGGTGCTGGGCTTTTAGTCCGGCCCGAGCAATCGGAGCAAAGGCTGCTTGGAAGGCGCGGCAGCAAAGCGGAGTGAATCCGGGATTGTTGTTTTGGTCGTTCGCTGTCTGCTCGCCTTCAGTTCCATGGGGGCGATTCGGAGCGTGTTGCGCGCCTTGAAGCGGATTCCCACCCAACCGCCTTTAATCCGGATTGGAACCCCAGCCGTGTAGACGCCTTGATCTGACTCGCCGGGATTCCCTTTTCTTCTCTATCCCACGACAGAGAAATCCAGGATTTACTCCGGATTGAGGTGAGAGGAGACAGATGGGAAGTCACCTATATATAGAGAGAGAGTACTTTCCTTCTACTTTGTGCGTTTACACACCGAATTAATCCGGATTGGGCGCGGGTTTGTCGCCATGCTGGAATTGGCTGACTCAGGAGTGTCTCTAGAAACTTTGGTGCTCGGTTTGGGACTTCAGCTAAAGCAGGGGGATTCTGGGAGATGTAGTCCAAAGAAGCCTTGCAGCTTCAAAGCCTGGTTGCTTCCTGCCTGGGGGAATCCTTTGTTGGGGTGCCAACATATTGTACCTGTATATAGTATTGATCATAATATGGGTGGGAGAAAGAACTCTTGTCTGTTGGAGGCAAGTGTGAATGTTGCCATTGGCCACCTTGATGGGCACTTAATGGCCTTGCAGCTTCAAAGCCCGGCTTCTTCCTGCCTGGGGGAATCCTTTGTTGGGGTGCCAACATAATGTATGTACCTATAAGACAGATCATAATATGGGTGGGAGAAAAATCTCATGTCTGTTGGAGGCAAGTGTGAATGTTGCCATTGGCCACCTTGGTTAGCATCCCAACAAAGGATTCCCTCAGGCAGGAAATCGCCAAGTATTGAAGTTTGTTTATATATCTCTGGAATGATGTCCAGGGTGGAAGAAAAAACTCTTGTCTGTTGGAAACAAGCGTGAACGTTGCCATTGGCCAGCTTGATTACCATCCCAACAAAGGATGCCCCCAGGCAGGGAGTAGTCAGGCATTGAAGTTTGTTTATATATCTGTGGAATGATGACCAGGGTGGAAGAAAGTGCTCTTGTCTGCTTGAGGCAAATGTGAATGTTGCCATTGGCCACTTTGATTGGCACTTAACGGCCTCACAGCTTCAAAGCCCGGCTTCTTGTTGCCTGGGGGAATCCTTTGTTGGGGTGCCAACATATTGTATGTATATATAGTATTGATCATAATATGAGTGGGAGAAAGAACTCTTATCTGTTCGAGGGAGGTGTCAATGTTTCAATTGGTCAGCATGATTAGCATCCCAACAAAGGATTCCCCCATGCAGTAAGCAGCCAGCCTTTGAAGCTGGTTTATATATCTGTGGAATGGTGTTCAGGTTGGGAGAGAGAACTCTTGTTTGTTTGAGGCAAGTGTGGATGTTGACATTAGCCACCTTGATTGGCACTTCATGGCCTTGCAGCTTCAAAGCCTGTCTTCTTCCTGCCTGGGGGAATCCTTTGTTGGGGTGCCAACATATTTTATGTATATATAGTATTGATCATAATATGGGTGGGAGAAAGAACTCTTATCTGTTCAAGGGAGGTGTCAATGTTTCAATTGGCAAGCATGATTAGCATCCCAACAAAGGATTCCCCCATGCAGGAAGCAGCCAGGCTTTGAAGCTGGTTTACATATCTGTGGAATGGTGTTCAGGTTGGGAGAGAGAACTCTTGTTTGGTTGAGGCAAGTGTGAATGTTGCCATTGGCCACCTTGATTGGCACTTCATGGCCTTGCAGCTTCAAAGACTGGCTGCTTCCTGCCAGGGGGAATCCTTTGTTGGGATGGCGATATACTGTATGTACATATAATGTGGGTGGGAGAAAGAACTCTTGTCTGCTTGAGGCAAGTGTGAATGTTGCCATTGGCCAGCTTGATTAGCATCCCAACAAAGGATTCCCCCAGGCAGGAATTAGTCAATCACTGGTTTATATATCTGTGGAATGATGTCCAGGGTGGGAGAAAGAACTCTTGCTTTTTTGAGGTAGGTGCGAAGGTTGCCATTGTCCACCTTGAGGCTTAGCATTGAATGGCCTTGCAGCTTCAAATTGTGGCTTCCTACTGCCTGGGGGAATCCTTTGTTGGATTCAAGCTGGCCAATTGAAACATTCACACTTGATTCAAAAAAGATGAGAGTTTTCTTTTAGAGAACCGCCACCTGTTGGGACCATTTGTAGCTTCCAAACAGTCTTCAAAGGCAGGTCCATGTAGAGTGCATTGTAGTAATCTATTCAGGATGTATCTACCATGGCCCAGTCATTTGTAGCTTCCAGACAGTCTTCAAAGGCTGCCCCTTGTAGAGCGCATTGCAGTAGTCTATTCGGGATGTAACTACCAAATTCCCAAACAGTCTTCAAAGGCCTTCCGATATCTTCAACCAGTCGTTTGTAGCTTCTAAACAGTCTTCAAGGGCAGCCCCATGTAGACTGCATTGCAGTAGTCTATTCGGGGATGTAACTACCATGGCCCAGTCGTTTGTAGTTTCCAAAGTCTTCAAAGGCCGCCCAATGTAGAGCGCATTGCAGTAGTCTTTTTGGGATGTAACTACCATGGCCCAGTCGTTTGTAGCTTCCAAACAGTCTTCAAAGGCCGCCCCATGTAGAGCACATTGCAGTAATCTATTCGGGGATGTAACTACCAAACTTCCAAACAGCTTCCAAACAGTCTTCAAAGGCTGCCCTATGTAGAGCGCATTGCAGTAGTCTATTCGGGGGGGGGGGGATGTAACTACCATGGCCCAGTCCTTTGTGACGCGCCCTTAAAGACACACACGCAGGCACAAAGACACCTGAGCACATTCTTCTGGTGAGAAAATGACACACTTGGGTGTAATTGCAGCCCAGCAATTAGCTGGAGGCTTGGGTCAGAATGTACTTTTCTGTGGAATGATGTCCAGGTTGGGAGAAAGAACTCTTGTCTGCTTGAGGCAAGTATGAATGTTGCAATTGGTCACATTGATTGGCATTTAATGGCCTTGCAGCTTAAATGCCTGGCTGCTTCCTGCCTGGGGGGGGGGAACAAGGGAATTCCAGACAGGAAACAATCAAGACCAACTAACACCTCCCAAGAAAGGAAAGTGTTGAGAACTCCTTCCTGTTCAATTTTATTCCCATAGGCAGGAAGCAGCCAGGCTTTGAAGCTGCAAGGATATTAAATGCTAATTAAGGTGGCCATTTGCAACATTCACCCTTGCCTCAAGCAGACAAGAGTTCTTTCTCCCACCCTGGACATTCCACAGATATATAAACCTCACTTGCCTAGTTTCCAGACCTCACAACCTCTGAGGATGCCTGCCATAGATGTGGGAGAAACGTCAGGAGAGAGTGCTTCTGGAACATGGCCAGGCAGCCAATATCTCAAATGTAAATAAATATAAGCGTTTGCCAATCAGAAGCTGTTTTGTCCCCAGGATCTTTGTCTCGGGGGAGGATGGATCATCGAGAACACGCCTGGCCTCAAGTGTCAAAGCCGGGACAACGGGAACGTTCCAATACGTCTTTGTCTTTGAATCTGGGAACATCATGTCTGTCCGGGAGGAAAAGTTCCCAAATCTATGACCGGAGGGAGAGAGGGAGAAATGCTCCTCTTTTCTTTCTGTTTGGGTCTCCTTTCGTTCCCTTATTCAACAATGTGAATGGATGCCTTGGGATCTTTTCTCAGGGCCCTCCCCTCTCTCGCCATCCTATCCTTCCTTCCTCTCTTCCCTCTTTCTTCTTCCTCCCTTCCTTCTTTCCTTCTTTCTCTCTTTCCTTCCTCCTTCCCTCCCTCTTTCTTCCTCCTTTCCACCCTTTTGTCCTTCCCTTTCCGTACTTCCCTCTTTCTCCTTCCTTCCTTCCTTCCTTCCTTCCTTCCTTCCTTCCTTCCTTCTTCCCCCCTCTTCCTTCTTTCTTTCCACCCTTTCGTCCTTCCCTTCCCTTTCTTTCCTTACCTCCCTCTTTCTCCTTCCTTCCTTCCTTCTTTGTCTTTTCTTCCGTCTTTCTTTTATCCTTCCCTTCCTTCCTTCCTTTCTTCCTTCCTTCCTTCCTTCCTTCCTTCCTTCCTTCCTTCCTTCCTTCCTTCCTTCCTTCCTTCCTTCTTTCCTTCCTTTCTTCCACCCTTCCCTTCCATCCTTTCATCCTTCCTTCCCTTCCCTCTTTCTCATTCCTTCTCTTTCCTTCATCCTTCCCTTCCTTACTTTTGTTTTTCTTCCTGCCCTCTTTCCTCCCTCTCTCCCTCTTTCTCCTTCCTTCCGTTTGGTTTTTCCTTCCTTTTCTTTCCTTCCTTCTTCCTTCCTTCCTTCCATCTCCTCCTCCTTCCCTTCCCCTTTCCTCCCTTTCCTTCCTCCCTCTTTCTCCTTCCTCCTTCCCTTCCTCCCTTCCTTCCCACCGTCTTTCTCCTTCCATCCTTCCTTCCCTCTTTCCTCCCTCCTTCCCTCTTTCTCCTTCCTTCCTTCCTTCCTTCCTTCCTTCCTTCCTTCCTTCCTTCCTTCCTTCCTTCCTTCCTTCTCTCTTTCCTTCATCCTTCTTCCCTTCTTTTCTTTCTCCTTCCCTTTTCTCCCCCTCTTTCCTTTCCTTCCATTTTTTCCCTTTCTTTTCCTTCTTCTTCCTTCCTTCCCTCTTCCTCTTTCTTCTTTCTTTCTTCCTTCTTCTTCTTCCTCTCCATCCTTCCCTTCCTTTCTCTCATCCTTCCTTCCCTCTTTCCTCCCTCTCTCCCTCTGCCTTCCTTTTTGTCTTTCTTTTCCTCTCTTTCCTTTATCCTTCCCTCCCCTCCTTCTCTTTTTCCTTCCTCTTTCCCTTCCTTCTTTCCATTTTGTCTCTTCCTTCCTCTCTTTCCTCCTTCTCCTTCCTTTCTCCATCCCCTTATTCCTTCCTTTCCTTCCTCCTTCCCTTCCTTCCTTTTGTCTTTCCTTCCTTCCCTCTTCCCCCCCTCTCTCCTTACTTTTCTTTCTTTCCTTCCCTTTTGGTTTTTCCTTCCTTTTCTTTTCCTTCCTTCCTTCCTTCCTTCCTTCCTTCCTTCCTTCCTTCTTTTTCCTTCCTCCTTCCCTTCCTTTCTTTCTCTCTTCCTTCATCCTTACCTCCTCGCAAGGAATGCTGGCATGCGGCCCCAAACTTTGCCCAGGCCTGATCTAAGGCCATCAGGTGCATATACTGTGGGGAAAAATGGGAATTGTAGTTCAGCGAGGCATTGAGCCCACTGTGGCAGGGAAGGCTTATAAAACTACAACTTCCCTGTTCCATAGACATTAATGTGATGTCGATTGGGCAGCGTAGATG